CGCTCCCCCCCCCCACTGCATCTATCAGAGAGAGGCAGCAAGGGGAGGGAACAGGAGCCAGTTCTGGGGGGAGCTGGCTTAAAAAGAGACGTCTCAGAGGTGGGGGGAGCGGAAAGGCAAGGCTCTTGCTACATTTCAAAATCAGAAGCGCCGCAGGGAGCACGGGGCGAGCAGGGGACTCAAGCAGTCCCCTGCTGTCCCAGTACTACCTGTGTGCTTTGCTTCTGAAATGTACAAGAGCCCTGTGGGGCTCTTGTACATGTCAAAGGCAGAGGTGCCCTTATCGACTAATGGATGGAATTCCATTGACTATTGGATTAGTTGATTCATCTAAATGTAACATCCCTAGCACCGTGCGCATGTCTGCAGCAGAGCCAGGAATGGAACACAAAAGTTCCACCCTCCAGGTCTCTGCTCTAACCACTCAACTCCACTGCCGCTCTCTGCCCTGCTCCATCTCCTCTGCCTGGAGCTTTTTGCTGTCCTGATGCAGTCACTGTAACATCCACAAGAGGGAGCTTCCCAGGTCAGCAGGTGATGGGTTCCCTGCCATCTGAGAGCCACACAGAGATCGTCTCTGGCAGTTAGGCAGAGAACAGATGGATGTGGCTCCTGAGAGGTCTTTGGGCCACTCCAGAGTCCTGCGAGAGATCTCGAGGCTCCAGCAAGAGGGCAGGGCACTGGGAAGGCAAATACAATTAGTGAAGGTCAGGAGAGGAGGGCAAGGGAGAGAAAAAGAGAGAACAAAGGGTGGGGAGAGAAGGAAATACAGGCACAGGGGGAATAAGGCGGTGGAGGGAAACCCAATCAAACCCTTTCAACTCAGCACTGGGCTGCTGCGAGCTAGCGAAGGGCTAGGAACAGGACAGAAGAGGAACCCAACGCAGAGGGGCGGGCACGAGATGGAAGAAAGAGGCAGAGACGCACCCAATTTGGGAGGGGAGGTCTGAATGCAGGAGAGCTCCAGAACTCAGAGAGGAGGTGCGCTGCATGGGAGAGAGTGAAAGCGCCCGCCAGCGGGGCAGTGCAGGGGAAGGTGGCCATGTGTCCCTACGCCCTGTGCTGGGAGCCCGCCAGGGGTCAGGAGGATGGAAAAGGAAGGGGAGCCAGGCAAATCACTCACGTGGCGAGAGAAGTAGTAGAAGCTGAGCATCATGATGAAGATCATCACTGTCATGGAGTACTTGGAGGGGACCAGGGTGTACCTGCCGGAGAGAAGAGTGGGCCGTGCTTTTCCCACCGTGGCTGGATTACCTCCCATTCCAGCACACCACCACGCCAACCCCAGACACGCAGCACATACATGACAGCTTTGAGGCCCTTAAAGGGGCTGTCCCTCGGCCGGCTAGCCTCTTTTGGAAAGCGGCAGGGGTAGCTCCGTGAGAGGCCTGTCAGGGACAAACCCACATAGCCTCTTGCTGAAAGATGTTCCGTCTCCTTCGGCCATCAGCTGAGCAGAGCTGCCTGTGAGCCGGGTGGGAACACCCGAGCGCTACAGCACCTCCCCCGGCCATGCGTCTACACTGGGGAGAGGGGATTGGTTAGGGTGTGTCACAGGCAGAATAGGGGCAGGAAACGTCTCTCTGCCTGGGGTTGTGGAATTGTCTCTCCAGGGGACGGGTGGGTGAAGCCAACAAAACCAGGCTGTCGGCAGGTGGGATTGAACCTGTGACCATAGGGGGCTAAAGCCTTGTGCCGTTACTGCATGAGCAAAAAGCCCCCTGGCTCTCAGGGGAGACGGTAGAGCAGGCGTCACTCTCCCTTGTGAGCAGGCTCAGTGCCTCTGGGTTACAGTGGAAAGGCCAGAATGGGAGCAAACCGGGACCATGCTAGGGAACAGCCGTGTCCTGGCCGGTCTCTCCATGCCCTCCCCTGCCCGACGACCCAGTGCCCTTACACGATCTCCTGGAAACGTCCCTTATCGTACTCGTCGAAGATCTGCTGCCAGGCGTAGATGTTGACCACGCCCACAGCGCAGGTGATCATGACCATCAGAGTGAGCTTGACCATGTGGCTGACCTGCACCAGCATGATGGTGGCGATGAGGGCCAGCACAGCAATGTAGCTGTAATACTTGGGGTCCTCCACGCAGCCCCCCGCCAGCGGGGTCGCTGCGGTGCTGTTGCTGGTGCCGGAGTAGGACTGGAGGCAGCTGAGCTGTGGGGGGGGGGGCAGAGACACGGGTGAGGGGCCTTCAGGGAGACGGCCAGTTTGGACTCATGCTTTGCAGCAGATTGCAGCGCCAGCGGCCCACTCCGCCCTGCCGCGGGCCCTGGGTTGGGGAGGTCAGAGAGGGGTGCTGGGCTGCACGGCCCATGTGGTCAGCACCGCAGCCAGGTAGTGCCAGAAGCGGCGGCTTTCCTTGGGATGTGACTCCCATCTCTACTGGCTTTCACACAGCTCTGCAGGGGTTCTACGTACCTGGGCTCGCTGGGAACCAGCACCCCGGGGGGAGAGGCGCCACTGCTGGTTAACAAACCCTGGCTAATTCAGGAACTGTGCCCAAATATAACAGGGACTGTTCGTGCCAGGGAGCTGGTCAGGCGCTATAGGAAACCCAACCAAACACTTCAGACCCTTTCCCAGAAACCCACCCGCCACCACCCTGCACACCTCTGGGGCCCAAACAGCCTCATGGTCACATGTGGACTTGGCAAGATAAGGCAAGGGCCGGAGGTGGAGAAACACGCATGCTTCAGGGCAGAAGCTGGTAGGCAGCTGCAGGGCGATGGAGCGGAGTCAGGAAGGAGGTACTAGAGGTTGTGTCTAGAGGGGAATGTGGGCCCATAGGAGGAATCTTTAGCCCTTGGAAAGTCCCACTTCCTGCTTTTAGCACAGCTGAGCTCAGAGCTGTAAACACGATGTGGTTGTGCCAGATGTACCCACACTCTGTCCCCTGGGTCTCTGTATCAGGAAGGTGTCTGAGCTGCCCTGCCCGTCAATGGGCAGCAGCAGAGACAGCCTATCATGAGGATGAAGGCAGAGCATTGCATGCTGGGCCCTGCCATCTCCTGACTGCGCCTGCCAATTAGGGAGGAGGCCAATCTCAGGTCAGCCCAGGTGCCCACTAGCCTTTTCAGATCACTTCAGCTGGTGTAATGCACACACTGGGTCTGACTGTCCTCACAGCCATGTTAATCAGGGTCCCCCTGTCACACGCAGGGGGTGAAGTGAAGTGCCACCGCTGCAGAAAGGTTGTTGGTGTCAGGCCCCCAGACTTCGGGGAGTCAGAACCCAGGGATTCAGCCCATTAATAATGCTGCTAAAAATATCTGGTTGTCGTCAATCTTATTTCCAATCAATGACCCGCAGGGCATCATGCTCTGCACAATTATAGGCTCACCCAACATGGGAAGGTCAGAACGGACACAGAAACGGAGTGATGGCATTGAAACGTCCCTGCCTGCATGGGGTACGGACAGCAGCAGCGCAGGCGGCTGGGTCAGCCAGCCACATGGAGAGGTTTATAAAGTGGTACTGCGGTCCCAGCCAGCCCTGGCTTCAGGCCACTGTGATCCATGGAAATACACGTTGCGCAGGACCCAGCAGAGCTACTGGGCCTCTCGGGGCACCTTCTGTGAAGCACTCACAGATTCCTTGCAGTGCAGGATGATCCATGGAAATACACATTGTGCAGGACCCAGCAGAGCTACTGGGCCTGTCGGGGCACCTTCTGTGGAGCACTCACAGATTCCTTGCAGTGCAGGGCTGAAAGGGAGCTCCAAGCATTGAGTCCAGTCCTCCAGACTGAGGCAGGGCCAAGTAACCCTAAACTATATCCCTGACAGGTTTGTCCAACCTGGTCCGAAAATCCTCCAGTGACAGGGATTCCACAACCTCCCTTGGAAGCCTAGTACAGCGCTTCACTAGCCTAGTGAGAAAGGTTTACCTAAAATCTAATGTCAATCCACCTTGCTGCTTATTAAGTCCCCCATTTACTGTTCTTCCTCCAGTGGGCACAGGTAACGCCGCACACAGTCCTTAATAACGGCCCTTAACAGAGTTGAAACCAGTTATCAGGTTCCCACTTTGTATTTGTTTCTTAAAACATGCCCCATTCTTTTCATCACATACCAGAGTTGCTAAACCAGGAGCTCTCCACCTTTCCACACTGCCCTGCCCTCTTCAAGAGCCTGATTTGTCATTTTTCTCTGCAATTATAAACTACTTGCTTACAAACTCAGGCCTAAAAATACAGCCGTCTCACAGAGCGCTGTGACTGAAAAAGCGCTGACTCTCTCCTATCGCCGTATAAATATAAAATAAAGCAACTGGAATAGAAATATTGCACTAACAGTTCAGTGTATAGCGTACCCTCCTATCAGTTTTGTTGCGCTCCTCCGGACTCTCTCCAGTTTATCCACATCTTTCTTAAAGTGTGGTGCTCAGAACTGAACACTGTGCTCCAAGTGAGGCCTCATCAATGCCAAGTACAATGCATTGGCCCCTCTAATTTTTTCCATCCCTGTGTGGAATACGTTTTGTTACGTGCACTGAGGCATGTGCAGATGTGCACCATCAGTAGAAACGAATGCTACCAGCTGCAGGCAGCTGTGAGCGCTCTGCTAATTAGCTGAGTAGCATTTGAATGTCTTTTGTGTGGCCACTCAAGCACTCAGCTTTCAGGGAACACTGGTTCAGCGGGACAATTCCCTTCCATGTCTTACATGCGACACTGCTGTTAAGTCGCCCCAAATGATATTAGCCTTCTTCACAACTGCATCACACTGTGGACTCATATTCAATGAGTGATCCAATATAACCCCCAGATCCTTTTCAGCAAAACGACTGCCTGGCCAGTCATTCCCCATTTGGTATTGTGCATTTGATATTGGATGTCAATAGGCTTCTCTTCCAAGTAGGGATGTGAATGTGAACCCAGGTACATGGTTAACTGATACGCCTGGGCTCATCGGTTAACCCTCACGGTGACATGCAGCCCCTCCCTCCACTGCTGCCTCTGCTACAGAGGCAGCAGCGTGGGGGGGAGGCAGGAGCTGGTGTACATGGGGAGCCAGCTCCCACAAAGCCACCTGCCCCCCACGCGCTGTGATACAGCCTGTGATACAGAGGCAGCAGCGCGGGGAGGGGGAAGCAGGCAGGAGCCGGTGCTCTCTGTGCGCACCAGCTCCCACTTGCCACCCCATTCCGCGTGTAAACGTGTAACTGCTGAAAATTTCAGCGATGACACATTTACAAAAATAAGCAAATTTTAACATCCCTACTTCCAAGGCATCCACTGATGCAACCTCCTGTGTGTGAGGTGGCAGGGAAAATGGTGGCAAGGGAGAGGGTTCTCACCATATCCACGATGTCGGCCATGGTGAGGATAAAGATGGCCGACATGGCCCAGGTGTTCCGGGCCCAGCGGGTCCTGTCGATCCAAGTGGAAAAGGCTACGAGTTTTTTGGGAAACACCTATGAAGAGAAGAAGCTTTTAACTATGGGAAGCTCAGCCCTTCTGCCCAGAGTACCCAGCACCAAGAATCCCCACGTACTTTGTCATCATGCATTTCAATGGGCGTTAGAGACCTGAATACCTCGGAGGATGGGGGCCCAATTGTTAACCCCCTGTCCCATCATGAGGAGAGCAGTCCACACTGGGGATTGGGAGGGGCAGAACCTCACGTTTTCTGTAAATCTCTTGCTGAAGGGGGTGCCCCATGGCTGCAGTTGGATCCCCCATAATCTCAGCTTTCAATTCAAATCAAAACATGCTTCCTAGCACTTAACCCTGTGCAGGAACCCTACCAAACACAGAGCGGTGCTGCCTTCCTGGAGCTATAGACTGTCCAATGCAACAGTTTCCCCATCCCCTTCAGAGCACAGTTCACTATTTCAGCGCTGATTGCTTGAGCAGAAACAGCCAGCTAAGGCACCTACACAGCGTTGTCGGATGTGGTGATGGAAATTGGGCCAAATCTGGTCAAGGGGGAGGAACGAGTACCATGACGACACCAAAACATGCCAGTACCCCTCTGCTTTTGTAGGACCGCTCCTTCTAACACTTCTACAAATCCATGGTCACAAAGGACTTCACCGCACATGAAGAATTGGAGGACAGACCCATCAGTGGCTATTAGCCAGGGTGGGCAGGGAGGGGGTCCCTAGCCTCTGTTTGCCAGACACTGGGAATGGGTGACACTTTATGGTCAACTCTTCTGTTCATTCCCTCTGGGACACCTGTCATTGGCCACTGTCACAAGACAGGACACTAGGCTAGATGAACCATAGGTCTGACACAGTATGGCCGTTCCTACATTCTCACATGGAGACAGACCTTCCTATTTCAGAAGTTGCTCCCTCTGATCAGAGCTAAAGGGGAATCTCCATTAGCTAGCAGCAATATGGGATCTATGACACACAATCGAACAGGGCTGATTCCATCCACCTCCACTGACTCTTGGGGAGTCATGGGTGCTCAGGGCCTCTCAGGATCAAGTCCTCTGACCTCTTACCCTGGGGAAAATGGCGGCCAGAGAGCACAGTGTCAGGATGAGCAGCAGGATCTCTCCAATGACAAACGTCACGTAATTGGCCACCAGCCTGCAGAGAGAGAATCAGAACTCAGTGCTGTAGGAGGTGGTTCCAGGGACGGTGCTACCAGGACAGCCGCGTGGGTGCCCACAGGACTCCACGGCAACCCCCCATGGCCCTTTCACAGATTGCTGAATGTGTTCACTCGGTTTGACACCCGGAGCAGGCATGGCACAGACAGACTGCAGCTGGACTGGGAAGTGCGGGCAGCACAGGGCAAGCAGAGCACGGGAAGTAGCTGGCACGGGGCTGAGAAGGCCGCAGGGCACTTCCCGAGCTCAAGTGCCCTAAAAGGCAAAAACGGACACGGAGTGAATGTGTGTTGGCTGCAGCCAGTAACCAAGGTCTGTGTTGTGGACAGCTCTTGCGGGGGAGTGTAACCATGTGTTAGCCGGGAACTTGGTGGGCGATGAGGGCTCAAGTCCCCGCTCAGCCCCAGAGTTGGTATGATCTTGGGCATGCCACGTGCCCCTCTGTGCCTCAGTTTCCCATCTGTACATATGCTGCAAAGATAACTATGTGGCAGGCTCCGAAGTGCTCGGATACCACAGGAAACGGGCCTCTATTGCTCCCTGAGACAGGGGGATGTTATTTCATCCCACTTGTTAGCTCAGTTCCCTAGAAATCCTTTCAACTCCTATGAAGACTAGCTGGCTTTTCTATCCAGCATCCCCCCGCCCCTTAAAGCAACACCCATGACAAGGCGCATCTGCAAACTAGCAACCATGGGTGTGGTTCTGTGGAAGACAGACATAAAAACAAAGTCCTTACAATCGCAGAATCCTAGGGCTGGAAGAGACCTCAGGGGTCATCAAGTCCAGCCCCCTGCCCAAAGCCGGACCAACCCAACTAAATCAACCCAGCCAGGGCTTTGTCAAGCCGGGACTTAAAAACCTCTAGGGATGGAGATTCCACCCCCTCCCTAGGGAGCCCATTCCAGTGCTTCCCCACCCGCCTAGGGAAATAGTTTTTCCTAATCTCCAACCTAGACCTCCCCCACTGCAACTTGAGATCCCTGCTCCTTGTTCAGTCACTACTGAGAACAGCCTCTCTCCATCCTCTCTGGGGCCCCCCTTTTCCCTGGCTGGAAAGGCCTTGTAGCCCCAAAGAGAAGGTCGTCGGGAGGGGCAGGAGTGGCTCTAGCAAAGCCAGACACGCCAGGGGCTTTTCACAGCAGCCGATTTCTGAGCTTTGTCCAATTCCCACTGGCCTTTCCCCTTTAAGCAATGACTGGTTCCACTGACCGGGCGCAAGGGTGTAGCGCGGAGCCCAGGGCTTTGCTAGCATGTAGGGCGACACAGGCCTGGCTCTGAGCTAACGAGGCATTAATCCACACTGCCCCTTTCCTGCTACCAGCCCCGGCTCAGCGTGGCAACTGCCTGTTCCAACCAGGCATTCCTATGGCAACCTGCCCTCAATCAGACAGGGAGGGCGGACGGCCGTCCCTGCCGGGTCACTCGGCCCTGTCGATTCGTTCTTTGATTCCCCTTCCCCAGGGCACGGGCAGAGGCGACTGTCAATAGGACGTAGCAAGGACAAGCTGACGTGCTTTGCCCCCACCACACGGAGCAGGGTGGCTGAGGCCTCACTTGGGGGCTGTTGGTGCAGGGACCTGGGGAAAACGCCCTGGGGAGGTTCACAGAAGCCCAAGTGCAGCCAGAGAGAAAAGTAGAAAACACGGGGGAGCGGGAGGGACCTTTCCACCCCTCTGGACGCTGCCACAGCTTGGCAAGGGTCACTCAAGGCTGATGCCGTTGGATGGTAGCGGAGCGGCCTATGTGGTTTGAGTTTGGGGGAGGTCTCAGCCCAGACCCTGAGCATCGGGAGTTCACGTTACAGGGCTCTGCAGGCGATGGAGAAAGAGCCCAGCCCCCCCACCCCCCAAGATCCGGCCCGTCGAGGTCAGAGCGGAGGGTGCTGGGGCAACGTTAACGGCTGCTGGCTGTGTTGTGCTTGCTCCGTCTCCCTGCCAAACCCACCTTCTGGCAGCCAGGCCTGCTCACCCCGACCTCCCTTGATTTCGAGGGTGCCTCAGGTGAATTTGGCCACCCAGACGTCCAGCCCAGGAGAAACCAACCAAGCCTCGGGGAGCGTGTGGAGGGAGTGATGCACCTGGCCCATTCTACCGCCCTGCCCAGGGCGACGGGGAGGGGAGGGTGTTCCTTCCCCCCCAAGCCGGCACAGAGCCCCGCTGGGCCAGCGGCTGCACAGACACACTCCCTGCTCCTCGCCCAATGCACCTGCTCACCAGGGATTGATTAGGGCCTCCACCAGGGCGGTGAAGAAGAGCACCACGCAGGAGCAGCTGAAGGCGGCCCCGCTCTGCTTCTCCTTCTCCACGGAGTAGCGCGTCTCCATCTCGGGGTTGATGAAGCGCATGGAGAGGCGGTACGTGTACTTCCCCTTCAGCCTGCCGGAGACACCACGGACCCCGGTGAAGCGTGGGAGGCCACAGGCCAAGGGGAAAAGCAGGGGGAGGGCCCTGGTTCTGCTGGGGGGCACTGTCATGGCCATGAGGAAGGGAACGAGGGCAA